ACGTAGATGACTCCCCAAAAGCAACTGCTCTCTTGATATATATGCTTACTGACCTTACTTTGTTTTGAAGAAGAAAGAAAACGTCGCCATATGATGCAGCATGGGTAAAAACTTACAGATCCATGTTAGTTGAGTAACATTCACCATTGAAAGCAGTGATGATTAATTTGAAACGGAGTTTTACACTCTCAAGTTATTAGGCTCGAAGTTACTCATCTTATTTCTTGAAATCGATAGTAGCCACTTTGCCTCTTTCTCTACAGATGCGAGTGATCTTAATACATTACCATCCGTGTGTCAGTTGACCTATCCTGATCCAAACAATCTTCTTGAATTCACACTGACTGTCACTCCTGACGATGTGAGTACGGTTGTTTTCCGTTATTCAACTAATTTTTGAATGATTTCTATCTTAGGGCTACTACAAAGGTGGTCGTTTCACATTTTCATTTACTATTGGATCGGAATATCCGTATAAACCTCCAAAAGTTAAATGTACACAAAAGATTTACCATCCGCATATTAACCTTGAAGGCAACGTCTGTTTGAATATCTTGAGGTGAGAACGATTGATTCACTACCTTTGCTAAAGTATATGTTGGTACATTTCCAGAGAAGACTGGACTCCGGCGTTAACCATTACATCAATTATTTTCGGCATCATTTTCCTGTTCTCCGTGAGTATTTGAATCTTTATGCGTTTTTTCACCCTTTCTTCACTTTGCAGAACCCGGATCCAGATGATGCTTTGAATGAACAAGCTGGCGCTGTACTCAAATCGGATACGAGGATATTCGCAGCTAATGTGCAAAAAACAATGAGGGGAGAAACATTTAATGGAATCCAGTTCGATCGTGTGCTAATCGAATAATAATCGAAGCCGTGTGGGATCAGATACGATCATAAGAAAAACATTTTTATTTATCGTTACATGTCAAGTCTTTTTCTATTCAGTTATGTGAGTGTGGGTGCATACCTGTGCCATGGATATGTATGTTGTCGGTAGCCTCCTCTTTATTATCATTCACTACCACAAGTTATTCATTATAATAAGGCTATCAAGGCACAAAAGCTAACATATAGTGATTTAAAGAGAGAGAGAGAGAGAGAGAAAGTTGATCAATACTTGTGAACATTAGGCATGATTTTTTCTAAAGTGCCGTATTTTCGCGAAATTAGCATCATAGAAAAGAGGCAATTACAGCTCAGCATGTCACAATTATTCTTAAAGGGATTAGAATAGGAGTACATCATATCTGAACTGTATTAGGAAAGAGATTTCATCAAACTTTTAACTTAACTAATGTATCAAATGTTCTCAGCGACTACAGTAAAATCTCTACTAATGAATACCTCCTGATTATGAACAGACTCGGATTCGACGGAACGATTATTGTTGTAAGTGTCTTTCTAATATGAACACCTATTTACTCTGGACAATGAACATATTTTTGCGGTCTCTTTTGCTACTATAACCGCTCTAATGAGGAGAATATGTTTTTTTTGTCCTCTTTCTCTTTTCTGTCACCTGTTTGACATGCACTACGAATATATATGCATTTTGTGTATGATTCGACTGCTGTACATATAAAGTAAAGAATGAGATCACAACACAAGCTATGTTTTATAAGAAAAAATGCTAATAATTCATGATAATAAAGATGATCATGGTTTATCACAACATAAATTGTATGAAAAGTATAATATCTCACTTAGCTCTGTATCAAACATTTTAAAGGAAAATATTTAAATGATTATGGAATAAATCAGAATCAAAGTGTCAAATGAAATTAAAAGGTATCAATGCATAAAAACTAGACGATCAAGTTTACGAATGGATTGTACGACAAAATTCAAAAGAAACTAGTTCAAAAGCTAAAAGACAAGCAACGTTAGAAAATTCTTTTTAAAAACAATTAACTTTTATGTTGTATTTGAAAAATCTTTTAATTCAAATCAATCAGATGAACATAGATGAACAAGAAAATATAAAGTCAAGCCTTTATCTATGATGAATATAGAAGCGAATTTTGTGGAACTTTTTCTTCATTTCGCAGAAAAGCTTGCTTCAACTCTCTAAAACGAACACCTTCACATAGTGAACGATTTCGAATGATCCCAATGGTGTTGACAAGAAGAAAGGTTTTACTATATTTCTAAAGTTTCGTTTATTGGTAATCACTCGAAAAAATTTTGCATTGAATAAATCTGCATCAGTTTATTATGAATATTTCGTACTTCACCCCATTTTTGTACATCATAAAAAAATACTTAAAACATAATTAATTAATTGATATATTGGTTGTTAAATTTTCTCAATATTCGTATAATATATAATAACGGAAGAATAGAATTGAAGATTAATTAAAATTCATGACACGTTTTTGTATTATTTTTTCTATTGAAGATATTCTAATCGAGACTCCATTTTAATTCTAAATACAGGAATTTTTTAATAAAATACATAGAAACATATAAATAATTTTATAGTGTTGGATTAGCTCAATTTCTAATGATTTCAATTATATTTTTAACAGATAATGTTAGTACTTCGAATTAGATGAGTTTCAAATGAACTAAGAAATTTATTTTATAGAAATAACTAATTGCTTTCATTATTACAAAGTTCATTAAAATATTTATATTCATTCGATGGTTGAAGAATCAATGGATTTGAATTTCTTGATTTTTATGGATCTTGAACAAATATTTGTATTACTAATCATTACATTCTTCAAAAATTGCATTATCTCTGTAAAAAAAAAAAAAAAAGGATTAATCATTATGTTTGATATTTTATTGATATAGATAAACCAATGTGCCCGATTTTTTTGTTGGAGTAGTTTTTATTTCTAATCGATTTTATTAAACAGCATTTGAACATCATTAACAAATTGTTTTGGAAAAGTCAAGAATTTCAAAACGTGATACTATATTTATTTACTCATTTCAGAGAAATCCATCTGCGGCTAGAAATCTGCCGCTGTCGCATATATGAATTGCATGTGGATGCCAAAGAATTATTTTTGTGTATCTACAGAATAACTAAAACTTTGCTAAATGCTGTATGTCAATGCAAAAATTTCGTATTTATGATAGCTATTACCGAATCGATTCTGCATCGACATGCTATTTTGCAGTCTATACATGCAGGTCCTTGCAAAAGTCAAATGTTTTCTTCAAAAAATATTTATTCATTTTTCGTTAAAATGAAATCATCATTATATATATCACAAAACCATATTAACTCAAAAATCTTCTTCATTTTTTTAAACTCTTCACATTGATTAGCGTTCATGTACATACATTCCTAGTAGCAATTGAACTATAATAACATCCATCAGTTTATATTGCACTTCTAATGTAAGTAGATAGTCAAACGGTGAAGAAGCTCATCGAATAAAACAAAGCACATATGTTTGAATCGTATATCTGGAAAAAGACTACTATGTGTTCATGCGTATTCATGCATAGGTCCCTAGGCAAACGTTTTTTATCATGTACTTAACATACGGCACAGATTTCAAGGTGTATCCATATCACATGACTTTCTTTGTATAGAATCAACTGGAATAAAATAAAAAAAAGCTTTGCTGTTCAAGATGAAAGAATGTTTCTTGTCATTAAGAATGTCTGAATCTCCTTACTCGTATTGATTCCCTTTTTTTACCTATCTGTTACAGAATTTGCTGTTTAAGCTGTAAATTTGTATTATGACTTGAATCGTTTCGTATGTAAAATTGAAGAAACAGAAAACAAGAAACACGTATAAAATATAATTAAAATTAGTTTCACGCAAAATAGATATCGTTTTCATAGTAGTAAAAAATGACTTGCTTGTCATGAACTATTACTCTTGCTAAGTTTCGATGGAGACGGACTTTTATTATTAACTTGTACAACTTGTAATGTTTTTCATATAGTGCTTTGTTTATGATCATATTTACACGTGCTTGAACAAAAACTCAAGCGCGTAAATAAGAATGCTAAACAATGGAACAAAATTCAACATACTGAAGAACTTCATGAGCATGAAAAGTAAGTTCGACTAGTGTTAATATATAACCTTAAACCTTTTTTATGTTTCTAAATTTTTCTTTCCATTTTCATACGATAGTTCTTTGAACAAAAGTTTGTATATTCTTGTATGTGACAATAAAAAGCATGTACATGTACATATTTTCATCGCGTGTAACCGAGAATATAGTGTACCATATGATGCATTCGCATGCATGTTGTACAAAAGTAAATCATGTAGCTGCGTGCATTATTTAAGCTTTCATATTTGACTTCACAGTCGATTCAAAAATTACTCATGTTGTTTGCATAGTCTTCGCAATAAACAAATATTGATCACCTGCGTGTGCACACTAATGATGATTTCAATGACGATGAATATTTTTCTTCTTCGTGTCTACATCAATGCATCAAAATGAAACACACATAGATATACATCACAAATGCTTTTACGTTGATTTTTTTCTTTGTGTAAACATTATTCATGCATATATTCATATTGTGAAGATGAATAATTGTTAGATATCTATTTAATCAAGCGTAAATATTGTACAGGGGTCTTTGCATTGATATACTCTAAAAAAATGATTTTCTAACATTTATTATTCTAAATATCTCGATAAAAATCAAAGATGTTGATGAATAATTTGATTAAAGAAACAAAAGAAAAAATATTTTGCTCGATCATAGAACTAAAATTCACAAACAAATAAACATAAATAGTCTTATTCATTGCTTCAAATATTAAGAAAAGCAATATGTATTGATCAATTCATTATACTAATTAGTTATGCAAGTCTTCTTCACAGTCAAAGTAGAATTCTGACTTGTTTGATTTTTTCACGTAAAATTTATTAGGTATTTGTAAAGAACTCTGTTATAGATTTTTGAGAAAAAAAGGAGAAATATTAGATGTTGATATCAAGTTTAAATATCAAAGTTCTGTTTGTTTTAAATGAAACGTAATTTGCCATAATCACGTATTAAAACTTTTTTTGACAAACAGTAATGAGTTCAACACCATGATGATCCGAAAGACTTGTTATAACTGTTCCATTTGTAGAATTGATTTCTATCCGATCATCGAATATACGTCGTGTAAACAATTCCGATCGATCAAACATATTTCCATGTGTAAAAATATGATCATAAATATAGTTAATAGAAAAGTGAACAACAAGATTATCTATACATCGTGTACAAAGACTATGCCTCTCTGTATAATCATCATACCATCTTGTTGATCCATCAGTATCTTTTAATTGATGTATATAATTCCAACTATCAGCTTGAATTGCTAATACATCATGTTCAAAATTATCAACACCATTATTATAATCACCTGCCATAATAGCATTTTTATATTTTCGTTTATTATTACGTAAGAAATTCCAAACAAGAGATTCAAGTTCTATTGTTTGACCTTTATTTTCATCATTCCAACTATCATATTGATTATTAATAAATGTTCCTTTAGGTGCATGAGGAAAAGGTGTTTCAACTGTAGCTAAATGTATATTGGAAATAATTAATTGGTTGTTTTCTTGACTAACAATAATATAACCACGAGGTGCAATATAAAATTCTGAATATAAACCAGCGGCTAGTTTCTTTAATGGATATTGTCTTTTTGCTAATATCATAAGACCAATTGTATGATCCCAAGGAGCTTCAGTAGAATTAGGAATAATACCTGGTGAAGTACTAATCAATTGAGGTAAATTAACTGCACCACAATAATTCAAACCTAATGGATCACCACGACTAATATATCGATCAAAAATGCATGCCCAACATTTTGAATTTAAATAAAGAGCTAGAAATTGTGTTGGACATTTATAGATGGCACATACAAGTAGTACTGAATCACTAAGATTAGAACAATATGTAAAAATACAAATTTGTACATTTTTTATGTTCGAAGCTGGACAAGCAGGACTGTATGTTTGTGTTGGTAGTCCATAACTACTAATATAATTACGCATACCATCATTTACAACTTCGAAATGAGGATAAATATCTTTGAGTGATTGATAAATTTGACGTAAAATTTGTGGACCGCCCCATACTTCTTGTAAACAAAGAATATCAACATTTTTCTCACGAATAGCTTTGATAATCGATGGTGTTCGTTCAAATGCTAGTTGTTCTTCTAAACCAATATTCCATGTTGCTAATGTCATCACATCTCTACGAGATTCTGTACAAATAATTACTGATATCAATGAAATAAAGTAAATAAACATTGAAGAATACATTTTTGTTTTGTTTTCAATTGATATGGTGATTGATCACTGAGAAACAATTCGGAATGGACAAATTGAAAATAAATTTGTTGTTGTTTTCCTATCTAAAATGAAATATTTCTCGTCGTATATTACTTTTAAAATAATTAAAAACGTATGGTAAACAATGCCTATTCCGATTTTTCTCTTGTATATATCTGTTGTAATTGTAACTGACTGATTATTCCTTGATTTATTAGTAACAACAAAATTATTTCTGCTGAAAAAGTCTATTATCAAAAAAGTGAACTCTTTTTAAATATCAAGATCGATTAAAATAGACAAACAGAATCTAAGGAAGATTTAATTCGAGAAATTTAATAGTGTTCTCAAAATAACCGTCGAATAGATCAAAGGATATCTTTTGTTCTGTATAGAGAGGCTAAACATAAGCATACCATGCAAGAAAAAGGTTAACAGATAGAAAAACTATGCTAGCAGTGTCTCTATTTTTATTGCCATCCATTGGACAAAACTTAGGAAAAGAAAGCGGTTAAAAATGCGTTTTTAGTCTTTCTTTTCTTTATGATAAACTGCTAATAGGAAAATAGTTTTACACAATTTGTTGAGTATCTTACGTACTTGTTTGCATTTAGAAATTCAAACAAATCACACATCGATAAAAAATTGAGAGAATTGGTGAAACATAATAAATTTTATACCTTCATGTGATAATGCGACCGACGTAAATAAATTAAAAAAAACGCAAAGAGCTATTCATACAGAGTAAGCGTATACTTTTTTCCTTTCTTACCTGTTTTCATTAACATGCCCGCCTAAATATAAATCATGAGAATGAGTAATACAGTATTTATAAAACGGTTATTACGTTTAACTGATACCTTGTGTATTCATATAGTTCATGAAGTATTCTCATATTTTTAGAATGATTTTCATTCAAATAACTCGAAATATTGACCATTTTCTAGTTTGGTTAATTCAAACAAGTCAATATTGAAGATATTATCATGGATTGAGTTCAGTATATCAGAAAAACCACTGTAAAAACAAAATATGTCTGACACAACTTGATCACATTTTATCATCTCATATCACGAGAGTATTTTTCATTGATCGGAAATATTGGATAGTGCTCGTTAAATTCTTTATGTTTAACATGGAATTTTTATTAGATAATGATTCCTTAGTCAAATTTTCAATGCATTATTGAAGAAAAGAAATAAAAGACGACAAACTGTTTTCTATGATTGCAACATGTATTACCTGCGACTCAATGTCGAATATCTTTTCATGATATAATAAACATTTTGTTACGTTTTAAACATCATATTTTTTCACAAAGAGCTAAAAAAATGGAAGGATATCCTTGAAATTAAATATACGTAGAAATGACTTTTATGCTATCATCTAACAACTTGAAATGTTTTCTATGCTTCTCGTTGATGGGCAATAAGCACAATAATTTTTATTGACAATAGGTTTCTGATGTGTGACGTCAACTCATCTATAACTTCATCTACAATGATGGCATGAGATAGATAATGACTGCAGAAAAACGAAATCATTATGTCAAAGACTAATCAATCGACACAGTTCTGCAGAAAAAAGTTGAATTTTTCACTTACAAAATCAATTATAGTTGAACATTATAAATCATATTTTTTTATCCAGACTTAATGAAAAAGATGCACGATGATTATTTGCAAAGAAACAGAAACAAAGTACATATCCAAGAAGCATAACAAACAACAATTAAAAAACATATGAGAAAGGAAATTAATGCAAAAAGACTAAAAATGTAACGATGTATAAAGTCTCTCGAAACAACCAACAGCACGAAGACATACATTACAAACCTTACACATATAGTTTAAATCCGTCTTCCTTCTAGATCTTGAATTAGTGTGTGCAAATAGAACACAAACTTTGTGAAGAATTTTTCTGTTTGTTGCTTGAGATACAAGAGATGAAAATCATCTATAAATAAGGCTAAATAAATGTATACTATACCTAGACTATTCTATAACATCTACATGTGTAAAATGTATATTGGAATAAAATTCATACCAAGAATCCTCACTGTAATATACTTGAGAGTTTCTTTCATTAGTCATATGTCGAAACTCTATATATACGGGCTTAGTCTCCAAATGGTTAACAAACAAGCTGGGAATGCGTCAAAGACTCAAAATGTATTTGACACATCAATTTATCCGTTACTTTCAAATTTGCACCTCTCGAAAACCTTCCCTATCGACTTCTAGTATATTACGAAGAGCACAGAGTCTCATTCTTGAGCACTCGAAGTTCATCGAATTTGAGCCTAGCTTCTCGGAAGTAGCTGATTGACGCCTTGTATTCAACTTCTTGACCAGTTTGTAAGAATTTGGAACCTATCAAATTTCCAACCACTTCATAGAAGGTGTTTGTGGAATATTTGCAGATAGTTAATCTATTTTTCAAGCATCAGCGGTTCGTTGAAGTTCAAAGTACTCTTGCTTTCGAGCACTTGAATCCCTTCGTATCTCCAAGAGTTCATAGTTTTTGTCAAAAATTGATTTGAAGGCACGCAGGCAACATTCAAGCCAATCCGTTGAAGTCGCTGACTATTTCTAGTAGCAATCTTTTAAACTTTTATCTTCGACAAAGGTATTGAAAACTATAGAGATCACATTTAGATTGATTTAAATTAATTGAATTTTACGAAGATAGTATCTTTGATATTTGAAGAGCTTATGTCAACAAAAATGTTCACTTGTATGTACATAATCACTGTTTCTAGAATTCTTTGTAAATATTTTTCAACAGTTCACTTCATGCAAGTTGAAGCCTAATTAATTATTGTATTTCATGTTTCTCTTATTTTTGTGCTTTATTTCTGCTGTTTAAGAACATTGTTATAGTACTGCGTTTGATCTTAATACAAGTTATTTAATCATCTTATGAATACATCCTACAAGATTAATTGACAATGCTCAATTGAAAAAATTGAAGAATATCTGAAATTAAAAAAAAATATTGGCGTCTATTGTTTAAGTCTTATGTATCCGTTGATAAAACATGATTTGTAGTGTTTTTCTCCTATTCTACATATATGTTCGATGAGTATCAAGGCCTAAGGACTTGCTGATGACGAAAATTTTTTCTCGCACACTTATTGCGATCACTTTAAGGCTCTCGAGACATTCCCTTCAACTGTTCAGAGTAACATTACTCGATGCGTGTATAACGGTCGACTTGGCCCTTCGATGGACATCGGAAACTCAGCAGTGAACCATTGGATCAGTCCATGGGGAAAGTTGTTCCACTTTATGGAGAAATGCTTCACCCCACATAAAGTCACACATACCAAGGAAAAATGGAAAGAAAGAATAATATATATATACATATAATCTATTATATGATACTGTGTATATACTTGAATATAGAGAGAAATGGTTTTTATTCCAAAGCGAAATGCTTAGACCGTGTTGCTTTGTTCACAAAGTAATCGATCTCGTGGAAGAAGTATTATGCTAGCACTATTTTCTAGCACTAGATCCATGTTTAAATTCAAGTAAATAAATTTTGTTTTGTTGTTAATTTTCAGTTGGATAATCGAGTAGGACATTATTTATAGCATCTACCTTCGAATGATAACGAATAATTACCTCTGTTCATTTACTCTGTCTAAGTTAATATGCTACTTTCACGTAATTATTCTCAATTCAAACAGAAACACTAAGATTGAATTTCCATTTAATCGAACTTTCTCTGCATAATTATTTTTTTTTATATTGTGATGAAATTCTGTTTTCTAGATCGAATATTTTAGTGAACGCAATGAATCCGACGAACGATTTCGGAACAATCTCAAAGTGGCCTGCATGCTACAACTTAAAACAGAAATGTGCATTTCTCAAAATTTAGCACATTATATTCGGCATTTTGCATAATACTACCAACTTGATGCACATGCCATCGTGTTGGTTATTTTAAATGACGTAGATGCCGCATGTCGTTCCACATATGTCCACGGTGCTTCTCATTTTCTAGTACCATGCAACTTATACAATCGCATGGTGAAGCAACTCTTCAAAAATTAGCATCTGTAATGAGAAAAAAACACATTTACTCAAAGCATCCGTTAATATGCTAAAAAACTCTTTCTCTCTATCTGTTTTCAACTTTTTCTTATGAATGGAGACATAGATGAAGCATTTCTCCTTAAAAAATGAACCATTTCTAATAGAAAAAATCCATTTCTAGTACAAACATCCCTTAAGATGAAAAAAATAAAACGATCAGTTTCTCTCTAAGTCTTTACCACTTCTTCTTGTGAATGAGACTTGAATGTAATAGTTCTCCTCGTTTTTCTTCCTTTTCCTTTTGTGGTGAGGTAGTCGAATGAAGATGGTGTGTTTGCGAAAAGCGTTTCTCTTTGACTTTATATGGGTAAAGCATTTCTGCTAGAAGTGGAACAGTTTCTCTTTGATAGGGGGAAATGGTCCAGCCCTCGAAACTTTTTTTTACAGATACTAGAAACATTTTATGGGGGCTGCTTTTTTTAATTTCCTTCTATCTCATTCCTTTCAAATAAAAAGGCCGAAATACTAAGAACACCCCTAAAAATGCATGTTTTTTTAAACAGAGAACGGTGCAGTATTTTTCAAAACAAAAAAACGTAGCCCTCGAAAGCACTATGTAGTACTTGTAGAAAAAATTTCAGCTCGATTGAATGCATCGTCTCTGAGAAACGGGGGCGATTCTACACTTTTTCAATGGAAAAACTGGTTTTGAGAAAAACGCAAAATAAAGTTGAAACTGAATATCTTTCAAATAATTCTCTTTTTTGCGTTCGTATTCAAAGTATTCATAGATGATCGACTACGCTGTATCTCATGAAACTTTTCTCACGTTTCTAGAGTGATGCTGTTAAATACTAAGATACTATACATAGCCGATCAAAGCAATATCTTGTAGGATGCTTGTCTCTTACTTTTATTTTTATGTAATGTCTTTCGTAGTCTGAAAAAAGTAGAAATCATGAACGAAACTACTATCAAACATGTGAACAAACAATGAATAAATAGTGATAGAGCAATAATTGTCTCAGATTTTACTTTTTGGTTTACAAATCATTGTTGTGAAAGTCTTATAGATAAATTTTGTGACTAAGACAATAATCACTCTTTTTTCCAATAATTACTCAACATCTATTTGATTTCTTTATCAATCTGGTAATTTATTTAACACAACAAGAAGACAAGAAAAAAAGAAGTTGAATGTGTTAATAGTCTGACAATAAATAATATTTCCAATTGTTCGGTTTGTCATGTTGATCATATTCCATGGAATCTTTCTAACAGCATCTTCTATATCTTAAAACGTAGATTTTGATGAACTAAAGGTATGAAATCCGATAGATGAATTCATAAAAGTTGCAGATGAGAAATATCTGAAAAAAATTAAAAAAATTGCATTTTATCATATAGGGGTGTTACAAAAATCGACTTTTCTGGGTCTAAACGACGACATAGAAAATTTATTTTTTATAGAATGATAGAGGACAACTAAAGTCATCTATAGCGATGAAAAACCAAAATTCGAAAAAATTGATTTTCATGCATGGAAAGGGGGGGGGGGGGTCCCCTTAACTTAAATAAAATAAGAAGAAAAAGAAACAACAGATAAAAAAGGAAAAGCAAGAAAGAAACAAAAAGAAAGCACAGAAGCGTGAAGCAAAAAATACCGTATGAAAAGAGAAAAAGAATAAAATCAATAAAGTGATTGCGAAGCTATCATGTTTCAGAGGAGTGAGGAATACTTCTATGTATGTACATTTTTTCTTTCTTTCCTCTCATTCTTGTCTCTTCTGTAGTCAGACCTCAATCCACGTTGTTGTTTTTTCTTCCCTTCTGTGAGTCTCCTCTCTTCTTCTTTTTTTTGTCAGCGTGACCAAAAATCGACTGCCTAAAGCCTCTATGAAAATAAAGCAAAACGTAACAATTTTTCTTCAATGTGTACAGGATGAGTGAACATGTTTTTCCAGAGAGATAATGCTATGATTTCAGAGAACGTCAACAACAAGCTCTATACAGAAATAATGCACCTATAAAATGAGATTTATTAATGCTAAATACTAAAGATTACGGCAGATTTTCAGTATCCAGTTCACGAAACTCCAAAAGTTTTACTTAATATCAGTAGAAAAATATTTTTTTCATGAAGCAATTCAAATGAATAAAATGAGTCTGATTGCTTGTTTTGAGCTCAAGAATTCGAATGGCTCTAACTTTAAGCATGATGGTTGACTGTTTAGTACAACAAGATGTATAATTTACCAATCCTATTCTCTGAATGTAGCTTCATGTAGATTTCTTTTGCTTTATCTTATTAACGATGCTAATTGATCGTCATCAACTGTCATCATTCAATTGAATACTTTCCCCAAGCTGATGACTTCTTTCAATTGTGTTTTGTTTAGAAAAAAGCGATAAATTGTTTAGAAGATGTGAATACTATCGAGTGATATATAAAGAACTGTGCTGTGTGTATTTTTGTAACTTCTTCTCTATCATACCCTTGATTAAAATAGTTCTTTTATCAAAAGATATCGTTTGAAATTCCTTACGAAGATATGTATGACTGGATCTAAAAACTGTTATACATATATATTTCAAAAAAAGATGAAAAGAAAACGTACAAACAGCTGTAAAAAAATTAATCAAAATGATAAAAAAGCATTCACTCTATAAATCCTTTGCACTATGACTTGATCATCCATTGATAGCTTGTACAAAAGCTAATAGCATGAAGGCAAAACGACATCTAGATCAAAAGAAACGAGTATGAACAAGAAGATTAGTTGTTGAAATGAATATTTTCCAGAACGTATGCGCAGCGAATATTACGCGAAGATCTTGGTTGTTTCTAGTACAAGAAAATCAAGCAACAAAACCGACTAATCTTCAAAAAAAGAAGATAATCATATTTGTGAATTAGGTGTTAGACAATTACACCAAAGATGATACAAAAATGTGACTTTTTATCGACGAGAAATTTCTTAATTTATATTTCAAAACATTTTTAAAAAAATTTTAATTTTGTAGTTGATTTTACTGTAGAATTACGCTTAATTAAAATGAAATGACGAGATTACATTTGCTAGATAATCTGTATTACTTTGTGCAGAACTTCATGCACTATATTTTGATGAAAGGATGTGTTTTTGTCAAGGGACAATACATAAGAAATTTCAAAATACAAACAGCGCAATTCTTTATATATCACTCGATAGTATTCACATCTTCTAAACAATTTATCGCTTTTTTCTAAACAAAACACAATTGAAAGAAGTCATCAGCTTGGGGAAAGTATTCAATTGAATGATGACAGTTGATGACGATCAATTAGCATCGTTAATAAGATAAAGCAAAAGAAATCTACATGAAGCTACATTCAGAGAATAGGATTGGTNAAGGCGTCGTTGCACAGGGCTTGGGTATGTCTCATTTTGTAGAGCGATGTTTGGTCTATCTTTTGATAAGTTGGGCCTCATGATTCAGCTTTTCACTTAAGAGCTCAAGGTTTTGAACTAAGTGTTTGAAAGTAACGAAAAAAAGCTTGGTACATGCCTAATAGAGACATTAAAATCGCTATGATAAGTATTCTCGAGATTTACAAAGCACAGTCACATAATTCTCTAATCATGGCATACTACAATAAAAATCTTTGTTTTATTTTATAAACGGAAAAAATATTGCTAAAGTCCAGCAATTTACAGCAGACGAATGAGTAGTTTGCATTCGAAATTTTTACTTGTGAAATTTCTTGGAGCACACTACTGTCTATCATATTTGTCAATAATACATTCAAGAGAAGACTTTAAAAATCCATATGACGAATTTATCCAAAATCTCATATATATCTTTTAGTAATGTTTAGTAGAATATGTTTCTGAAAAAAATCTTACCACCACCAGATCGTCGTCGAGCAAGTAATACTCCATCATTATCCATTCGGTCTAAAAAACATTCTTTCTAAAAATTTTTTGAAATTCTTGATTTTTCTTTATTTACAAACAATTAAATCTGTACCCAAGGATTTTGATTTCGTCCAATGATAACACATTTATCATTTTGCCAAAGAAATAAAATATGTTCATTTGGTTTAATTGTATTTGATAACCATTCTTCTGTTGCTAAATTAAACCAAATATTTGTTGATGATGAATAAATAATTCGATGTATAGCTTCATGTTTTGTTGAATAATTTCTACAAAATTGTATTAAAGGAAATCGAAATCGAAAAAGCATAATCTAAAAAATAATTTTTTTTTCTTTAAATTTTAATTGAATATATTTATATGGAATGCATAATAAACAGAAGAAGAAGAAAAGAAAAAAAGTTTTTATTTATTTATTTATAATTAAACCAACCACCACTTGTTAAACTATTTGTCTGTTTTTGACTTTCAATTTTAGCTTTTTCTTTTGTTGAAAAATGTAATATAGTCATTAAAGCATTTGCCATTGTATGTTTAACTTGTGTATCATTAGCAAGTAAATAATGATAAAAAACATTTTTAATATAATCAATATTATGTTCATTTTTTGTTAATAAATCATTTCGTTGCGTACTTAATTTCATATGTTCTAAATCATCATTTAATTTTTCAATTGTTGCTTGTAATTGATTGATTTCAAATGAATATTTATTATGTAAATCTCTTATTGTTGATTCAAGTTCATGACGTTGTTTTCTTAATGATGTTAATTCTTGTTCACGTAATTGTTGTTCTTGTATAAAATATAATAGATTATTATTATCAGGATTTATTGGACTCATTGGACCACCTATTGTTGATGAAGAATGATGATGATTATGATTTTGAGAAAATAATTCATTTATTATAGTTGGTGATGATTCATCAGTTTGTTGTATATCAGATATTGAATGAGATATTTTATTATCTATTATTGTTGTTGATCGTTCTAATTGTTTTTTCATTGCTTCAAATTCACGATCTTTTTCACTTAAAAAACGTTGTGTACGTTCACGTTGTTTTTCTAATTCACATTCAAGTTCATTTAATTCAACACGTTTTTTTGCTAAGATTTGTTCAATTTCTTGACAATGTTGTTTATGTATATTTGTTAAACATGATTCAAGTTTTTCAACAACTTGTGTATGACGATCATTTTCACAATTATATAATGATTGACTTTGTGCTAATTTTTCACGTAATTGATCAATTTGATTACGCAAATCATCGATTTCTTTTGTAGAATTTGTATCCTAGAAATGTTTACATAATTGATCGATTTTCATAATCTAACAAATCATGTTCTAGTAGTTTAATATCATTTCTGTGTTTTAGTTAAAAACGAAGAGACATTAAAAGGTGTCCCGTAAGTTCTAAGCATCAACGAACATTAGATTACATCGAAGTAAAGAATGATTCCCATCGGCGGGCCAGGGTAATTGTTTTTGGTGGGGCAAAAATTATTAAAATGTCTATATCAGCTCTAGGAAAAAAAATNATACATTTCTAATATATATAGCATAGTTTCTATGGAGGAAAACAAAAAATTTCCAAGATGCAAAGGAAGTCATATTTCCGTTTATCCTCACTCAAGATATTCCTGCTATTTCATCTCTATCTTCAACATATTTGTCATAGTTCTCAAATTAATTAATGAATCATGCGACTTGAACATGTCTACTCGTTGAATCTACATACTCTTCAAATATGGCATAAAAACTTCGTGCCACACTTTTTCCCGAGCTAGACTTTGATAAGAATCTACAAAAATCTTGATCTATTCAAATATAAATATTATACCAAAGCGTACTAGCATGGAAATGGGATTTGAGAACTTAAGATAGTATGCTATTTTACAATTTAAACCGATTCGACTAATTAAAAAAACATTCTTATCAGAAAATTTCACTGTTTTGGTAAGCACAAGCATGTTAAATCTTTAAAACAAAAAAAAATCCAATTCACTCTTTTGCTCGAATAAAATAAAAACAATTTTATATAGCCATAAGATCATGTAACTTTTCTCCTTATTAGCGCAAGTTTGGTTGACTTCAACCTTGGTAATATTTGGAAAGAAAGTACGACTTTCATTTGTCTCGACAAAAATGTAGATGATGCAACTCTCTCGAAGAAAACAAATAGAAAGTAAATTCATATTTTTTTAATTTTCAAACAAAAAGAAAAGGTATCCCTTCTATGAACTTATTTGTTTATAGCTCTGCAAGCTCCGCTCACATATTGATTGTTCAAATGAGATCATCACGCAGTCTACAGGAAAGAATAAGTTAGAAAAGAATGCATCCTTACTCCTAGAATGCCCTAACTATTCTTTTTTATTCACAATCCTAGTACAAAATAGAAAGAATTTATTCATTCGCGTTCTGTGAAGAAGAACATACTCTTCGAAGTGGCAGATCATTCCGATTCAAAAGACCATTTCAGCTTCTACTATTAATCAATATAGGTAAAGCAAATAAATCATAAAATTCTGCTCAAATATCCTTGAGTTACGAATGACAACCTACTATATATTTACTGGTGAAGATAAAATATATCCTGATTTCAATCAACAATCATCATTACGTTGTTAGCGGTAAGATCTCTATGCTACAAATACATGTATTGATGAATAAATTATAGTAAAGATCCAAATCTCAGAACAAAATCTTTCGAATCCATGCAGATTTTATTGATCGATAGGATTGGTTAACACTACAAACCGATATCATGTGATAAAAGCTAGCTGACCCTCTTCTATTTTGACCTTTGTGTGTGCACATAAGTAGTTTTACGAACTAGAAATGATAAGTGAAAATTTCTCTTCAGAACATTAAAGCGATGGTTTGATTAACTGTCTGCTAATAAATCAAATCTCGATTTGATGCTTTTTTTCGGTGTATTGTATTGCTGTTAGACATACGTCTTCGAAAAATAGAGTCCTAGAAACACGTTTGCTTTGTTTATATGATTGTCATGAATTCTCTCTCCAATTTAACAGCAGTATTCGAATATGTGTTTGTATTTGAATTTGACTTTTGTCATATTTGTGATCTTCGTGAAAAAATAAAACGAAAGAACACTGTCTTACTCATTTACATATCAATTCGAGTAATTATTATTATATATGTATAGTTTCTGTGAAGCTATAATCAGGAATATTACTTTTATATAGTACTTGTCAAGTATTGTAAAAAAGATTGAACAATCATAAAAACGACAGAAGAAGATAGTTACAAGAACGTGATTCAATACGATTTTGCATAAATTATACTAATGTTATATCACCTGACTCGTAAAAATTTTCTTTTGCATCGTCTACAGGCGAATAGACTACCAATCCCTTTCGCTCAATATTGCGATTATGTGACCACAATATACGAGTTCTACTCAACACTGTCTGTATGTCAATCTGTTGTTGCTTGTGTACAACAAACCAAGCGAGACCAGCAAGAGTTATAATGATAATAATTGAAGCAACTACGATTAAAGCAAAGCGCTTGCCAGGACGATATGTTGTCTGATTCTTATTTTCAACTATGTTCTTTTCTGTTGTTTGATTAGCATTAAAGGATAAATTCGAATGCATGAATTGGTGTAGCATGGTGCGTGATTGATGTGCATAGTTGTAAGGTACCATGTGGCTAGCGTTGTAGAACAAAACATAAGTTAAATTACGCGCAGTTCGAATAAGACCAACAGGTTCATTATCCACAATCCACGGATCTAATGGAGCTAACGTCCCATTACCCATGTCAAATCCAGTTCGATTGTTCCAAGTCATAGCATCCATCATTTTCTCAGTCGCCCAATGATTACAAATCAAATCATATTCACTACTATAAAGCACAATTGGAATTTTTTGAAGTAAATTAGGCAACAATTTGATTGAGGGTTCAGAATGATATGCTCGAAATGTAGCAAGAACAGAGTCCGAACACTTTGTCCATGTTTGTTTGTCACCATCAACGTGAATATGTGACATCACATCTTGTCGATGTAAATAAAGTGTAAGATATTTCATTTCTGGTGGCCAGTTCCTACCACAATCAGGCCATGTATCGTCTAATCGTACGTCATAGACATTGACGCATCTACCTTTTTTCTTTCGCGTGTAATGATTATTCATTGCACCGTCACTCAGTATTTGATTCATAATTAAATAACACTCTTCCTCGAAAACATGCACTTCTTTGGAAAGTGCACGCTGGCATATTCTGAGTTGATTACTAATATCATTATAGAGTACAGAATTATTTTTCACTAAATTATTTGCAACTGCAAAAGGCAAATATGATTCATAAATAGTCACAGGATCGATCCAACCATTTCCAATCAAAAGACCGCGTAATTTTAATTTCGATCTTTTTGTAAGAATCTCTTTTGCGATATACGGAATATATTGACCAGCAAAAGATTCACCAGCCAAATAAATATCGTTTTGAAGTAGTTCTGGGAAAACTTCGATGTATCGGTCGAGAAAACTTAGAAACTGATTAGCCATTTCATCGAGTTCATGAATAAGCGCGTCCGTATCAATATAGGAAAAACCAGTACCGACAGGCTGATCGACGAACAATAGATTGACAAACATATGCCACGATCCATTATTTTCAATTATTGTATTTTCATCTTGAAAGCGGAAAGGACCAATTTCTGCCCAAGCTCCAATGAGACTACTACTACCAGGACCTCCATTAAACCATATCACTGTTCTTGGTTTGTCACTAGTATATTTGCTTGCAAAATGCCAGAAGAATAAGGCTCCATGATGTTTTGGATCAACAGGCAGATATCCAGCATGCATACGAATGGAAGAAACCTCTTTAGGTAAAAGAGGTAAGTCGTGGACGTAAAAATCCTTAGCTTGTAAACTGTTTACTGCATGATGGAGTATAGAAAGGATGATAAGCAGTTGTAGAATCATCAAATACATATACAACAGATGTTTTCTCTCTTCTGTCACAGTAAGTTGAAAGATAAAGTCGTATTCAATTAATATATGCCTAGAAGGATCTAGAATATCAAGAAATATACGAGAGAAGTTTATCATCGCAGTAATAAAGAGTCTTTCAAGTTCTAGTTCTCCTTTCGGTTATTATCACTTGCGACGAATCGCTGATTTCTATTTTAGCTTTTAAAGACACAAAAATAACTACTAAAATGATTAGTTAAGTCTACTGAAATACTTGAAGAAGGAATTATTTGCGTCGTTATGTATTCATATGAAATCATATTCAACCCACAATCTCACCTGGTTTCGCCAAGTGAGAATAAAAAAGAAAAGCATACCATTCTCGCATCTGATAATTCATGAGAAAAGCACACGATAGAACATTTTATAAAGTTGTACAAAGTGATGCATATCCTTGCTGATTCATCGCTGATACTTCGCATATCAACAGTGTAGTTCCAGATTATTGACAGGACTTCGACTACACAAATGTTTGGACGGTACAACCGATTATTGAATCGAATAAAATACGAATAGATCTTCAGATACCAGAAGTTTTAGTGTCATGTCATCATGGTTCAACTTGCGATACGTGTAGTCCATCGAAGTTCGTGACGAACACTTGAATAAAATTCAAAGGACAGGCTAAATTTCATGATAAGAACTCATATTAAGTTAACTATTCTTATACTACTTCGTTGACAGTTTTGTCAGAGAATCATGATTTGACAAATTTTTAAAATGAATGAGTACTAAGAAAAATATTAATAATCAGTAGACGGTTGGTAATAGTCGAACTGCATGTGGTTGTCTATTTCATTAAAGTCAATTATGTTGTTGTGCTGTTTCTAGAATTAGACAGATTTTTATTTTGCCTCGTTTGGCATTTCAAATTAATAGTAAAAATTTACTGTAAATGATATGATTGATAACGCGTATAAGTTAGTTACTGTAATGATTCATAATTGTGGACGTTCGTTGTAATCCAGCACATGCGCAATCAATGCCATATCGAATGAAAATAAACTCTGCTTAGTTAACTTTGTTTTCTAACGGAGCGGAAGAATAAAAATTACCTTCAATATTTGAGCGATAGAAATCTAATTATTAATTCAAGTGTGATTCAGAAGTTCAGACTGACATAGTAATCACAACAAATAATTCAAAATAGACTAAAAGTTAAGCGAGCAGGATAATTTCGATTTTATTCTGATTATAAATGAGAAAAGTTTCTTTAAACAAATGCCTAAAACTACTTTCAATTTCGCTTTTTTTTCAAAACAGAACTAACGAAGAAATTAAACGAATGATGAATCGTTTTCCTATCGAAAAAAATGAAGTTGAGTGTGAGTGTGGGTGTGATTCTTCTCTTCATCCACACCCATGCCCACGTCCACCCTTATAAATACTATGGGTGAATGTCATGGCCTTCAGCCATGATATGTCATCTTTGGTATGTTTGTTTACTCTTTTGAGTCAGGATTCCATGAGTCATGAGTATGGGATGCTTGACTCAGAAGTCTTGACTCACTTAGAACTATATATGCCCATGTATCTTTTCGAATGTGTGTATGTCGTCCCTTCTTCATCATCTTGGTATTCCCTACTTAGTTTATATTCGGTTCAAATACATTTCCTGGATTTATAACAGTGAATAAACAAGATTTTCGATGAAGACAGGAGGATGTGTGTGTAAATGATGGAAAAAAAAATAAACTGATGACGTGAGCGAACGGAGACGTACACAAAAGATGTTTGATAAGAAAAGGAAAGACAAATATGGAAGCATTTTTTGTGGGATGCATAGAGGCGTACAAATATTATAAGAATAAGGTGAAACCTTCAGTTAGTCGAAAGTAAAGCGATATTGAGTTTTGGAAAAAAAAATATATATATAATGCTTGGGATTTATAAAATTTTACTCTCTCGTAATATCCTCTAACTAGATGAATATCAAATGGCTACTTCTCATTTGCGAACATAAATAAAATTAAGTTTTAAATTTTCAACTAATCGTAAAGTTGAAACTTTTTTATGTTATAGAAAACAATTTGATTTCATAAGAATTGTTTTTTTTAAATTTGACTGATGAAAAATAATATAGGAATTAAAATTTTTTAAAAGATTTTAATTAACAATAGTTTTGTTTTTAGGAAAGTTTCTGCAATTTGTAGAGGTCGTAAGATTTTATTGAGCTCAGATTTTTGTATAAAAAGAAGTTTCTGTAATTTGTAGAGGACGTAAGTTTCTAATCAGAAGAACTTTTCCAAGTGAAGAACAATAGTTGACTTATTATTTAGAGTAAGTGTTTGATCGAATGATGATTATTTTTTTATGAGATAAGATTATATGCGTTTATAGGCTGATGTTCGTTCAAAAAGTTTGACAAACAAAAGAAAAAAAGAACAATTTTATTGGTGATACTTCAATTCGATCATATACTATAGAATTAAATTTTTCGAATAGATTTCGCTTAAATAGATTCATTTGTTATGATTAATAAAATGATACTGCTAATGCACGAGCAAGGGGGCAAAAAAAATGTATGCCAAACGAAAATAAAATCGGTTTTTAAATTATCATTATTTAATACCATTGAATACTACAGTTTTGTTGCAGCAGTTCCACATCTCTGTTCCATTTTTGTTAAGACAACGTTGACGATATTTGTATTGTTCGAAAATAATGGATGGAGCGCCACGATTTGTGGTTGTCCGTTCCATGTTGATTTGTTTATTTTTTTAATAACAATTTGGATGGTACGAACAGGTTAAATAATTTTAAAAAAATACGCAATCATAGATATTATTACAGTGATTTTAAGCGATCTCTACAAATTGCAGTAATCTAAAAGTAAAATGAAATATCGATTTCTAGTGATCTCTACAAATTGCAATTTTAATTAAATGAAATTCCAAAATAGATTTTTAGCGAGCTCTATTGACATTTTTATAAATTTAAATGAACTTGAATTTTTAAAACAATAATGAAATTTCAATTTTCGAAAACTTAATTATTAATTATGCAATTTTTTTCAAACAATTTAATAAAAATTAAGTTTAATTTTACTCTCTTTTCCAATTAGTTTAAATTCAAAAAAAAAAGTTTAAAATTCATTGAAATAGTTTAGAATTTCGTTTTATATTCATGTTCGCAAATGAGAAGATACGATATCAAATACTCTTTCTTTGAAGGTAGCCGATGAATAGTAATAGATCAAAAAGATACTAACGATCTACATCAATTTCTATTAAGAATTAGCAAGCAAAGATTGAAATGTATTTGTTTACAATCTTACATACTAAAAAGACCATTATATATCGTGATTACTTGTCTATCGAAGAGTAACTTCTTCATATTTTACGTTTACAACCAAGTTCGAATTCTCAATTATATATTTACATGGACTCTTGAGTGCTAATTCTAATATTGGCTTAACTGTCACATATTGATTTGCTCTTGATTTAAACTATTTATACAGTTACTGTTGGTAAGATTACCCACTACCAACATAGCAACTTCTCACTCTTTTCCACCCATATTTTCATTCGACCTCATTATACATACGTGCCTCATCCGCATTCTGAAAACCCTGTTATGGATGCTCATTACATGCAGCATATAGTAGCAATATATAGTAATGTAGGAATACGCATTAATGACAGAAAACTTTCTAATAGTAGCAAAAACAAACGATTTGAATATCTGAATAATGTTCGTCATTGCAGATCATTCTCGTATGATGTTGAATTTCTTGCATAATTCCAAATGCGAAACAAGCTTCACTCACATCTTTGTATGACATTTCCAAAAGAACGACATGGCATAAAGAGTCACGATCAAAACGATAAGAAGAAGAAGAAGAAGAAGAAGAATTATAAAACTATGCATGATGATTCATTTCATTTTTATGAATAATAGACTCAATTTGCGATGACAGTCAACTTGAGAGTAGCAAATTCTAGAATTTTTAGAAAGATAGAACATAACTTGTTGATAGCGAAATATATTTTCTATATATTTTCACATTCAAATATCAGCTCAATAATGTTCTACAACGCCTTATCATTGAGATAATCAAAAGCATCTGTTTCATAATATTTAAGACTGTGCTCAACATCTGTAGAAAATCATAAAACAGAAGTTTTTTAAGAATTTCATTTGACTACAACCGAAAAGTAGAGTTGCAAAAAAGAGCACATTTTTAAATTCAACCCCGAGAAAAAAATACAAAAAATTATTTTCTTTTTTGTTCTGCCATTTTCTCATTCGATCGTAAGTCAACATTGATGAATGACGCATATAACCTGTGATGGCAACATTGTTGTGCAAACTCTCTCATTTGAGTAGTTAGCAACTATATACCAATACATAGTTACTTGATATATATATATAGATATATTTATATACACATAAATCAAAAAGAATAATCAAATTAGCACGATATGGCGCATGGTATAGCTGATGAAGATTCCACAAAAAAAGAAATTATCGATCCACCCGATGTTCTCGATCAGAAACTTGAGCAATTAGCCGATTGGATTCGTAATGCTAAACATTTTATTGTGTTCACTGGTAAGTCAATAAAAAAATTTCGAACAAGTGAAGTAATAAAAAATTGTAATTATTATAGGTGCTGGTATATCGACATCTACAGGGTGAGTAGGACTTATGACATGTTAGTATTTAGATACTTTCTGAAGTAGAAAGTTGTGTACTTAAAATAGAAAAATAATCGCTTCGTGAAAATTTTCCTGTCATTTCCTGCAGCGAGTTTTTACTGAGAGAGACTAAAACTCTTTAGCCTTTTTTAATTTATCCATGAGTCATATAGACTATTCTGACTTTTCTGAAATGAATACAGATCAGAATTGCATAAAATATCGATGAATGGAGGTTGTACTTTTATTTTGTCGGATATCATTATTATTATTTTCTGTTTAGTATACCTGATTTTCGATCCAGTATGAATACTATTCTCCCAACGGGACCGGGTGTATGGGAACTTCGTGACCATCCAGGTGTGAAGCGTTCTCCAACGGCTTTTACAGTCACTATAACAAAAGCAATTCCATCAGTCACACATATGGCACTTGTCGAATTGGCTCGTCAGAATCTTCTTCATTTTGTTGTTTCTCAAAACATTGACGGTCTTCATTTAAGATCTGGATTGCCTTCACCCTTCATAGCCGAGCTGCATGGAAATTCTAATTTGGAAATATGCAAAAAATGTCAGACGAAATATTTGCGTGATTTTCGAACGCGAACAGCCATTAAAGCTCATGATCATCAAACAACTCGTAAATGTGCTAAATGCCGTTCGACACTGTACGATTCAATTATCAACTTTGGTGAGAATCTTCCCAAACAAGAACTCGAAGCAAGTTTTGAACATGCACGAAAAGCCGATGTGTGTCTCGTTTTGGGCTCTTCATTACGGGTTACACCAGCAGCAGATATTCCACAGTTAGTCGGTGAACGCGGTGGCCAATTAATCATTGGCAACTTACAATCGACTCCATTGACTGAATTGG